TTCACAACCCACCCCCAACACCCCCTCCTACCCCGGTTGATCCTTGCTGCCCCCCAAAGAAAAACCCATCAAACAGATCCAGCCCCCCCGCCCCATCACTGAAATCATGCTGCCCCAACCCCCCATCCCACCCCATCCCAAACCCCAAATCCATATTCGTATCCAACATCCCCTCCTGCCCACCAGCACCACCACCAACACCCCCAAGCCCACCTTGCAAAAACTCCACCCCCCGCAAGTCATTATACGACAACAGTCCCGGACTAAACATCCCCCCTCCTTGTTGCTGCTGCTGAGGAGGTCCCATACTGATAACCGGCGACCCTAACCCCCCTACCCCTCCCGGCGAAGCCAGTCCCCCAGCTGGAGAGGGCATACCTGCTTCTGGCGTCAACGGCCCATCATTCACAGAACTGGCGTTTGACCTTGGTGGACCAGGTAGGTTGCGCATGAGGGAGAAGCCGTCTCCTTCTGTCTTCAGTTGGGGTCGGTATTGATTTTTGAAGGCGGAGAATTGTGATGGGGTGGTGGAATACGCCTCCGACTTAATATCGGATATTTGGTCGATCGAACTCGAGGTACGATGGGGCGGTGCAGGGCGGGGTTGTCTGTGGTGGTGGTGTTGATGGTGAGAACTGCTCGACAGAGAAGCAGTGTCTGATCTGGATGACCAGTCCATTCTATGATGATCATTGTTTCTAGAGGTGGTCGAAGAAGCTCCTGCTGGTGGAGCTGGTGGGGGGTGTTTCTGGCCGAAGCCACCTCGGGCGTTTACCATCTTGAGCGTTGCTTTCACCGTGCGGTCAAAGGCGTCGCGGCAAGCTTCGGCTGGGGGGCACTTGTCCATCAGGTCGGTGAAGACTGATGTGGCGGCGAGGATGGTGAAGTCTACTTCGTCCATGGACTGTTCTTATGGGTTAGTCGAGGGGTGATAACGTGGTGGTTAGGGGAATCTTACCAGTCGACTTCTAACAATGGGCGAGTGCCAAATCGCGTAAAGATACGAAATTCCAGCAACAAACAGATGGTGCGTCGTCAGATATGTATGGTTGACCAGCCCAGCCAGATGAAGCTGCCTGTATAGCCTCAGAATCTTCTGGCCCGCCTCCGCCACCTTGAGATACACACGATCTTCATCCTCGCGAAGCTCCACGCTGTGGACAGATGGGCTTTCCACTTCCTTGGCAGTGTGATACTCGCCCTCGAACATCTCGGGCACACTCAAACTCTGCCGATACAACATGATAATAGCCTGCCAGTAGTTGAGGTCCAAAAAGTCCGTCAAGAAGGCCACACCTGTATCTTGTTTCTTTGGTGCTGTCATCTTCCACTCATACAACCTCTTATCGATATTGATCCTCCAGGACCTGAACGAGTCAAACCTCGACAGGAACGGCGACGGTAGCGAAGTGTGCATATGGGGGTTCTTCTGATTCTGCCCAAAATCCCTCGCAACCCTCGCCTGCTGATACTGCAGTACCTGCGAGATCTCAGACTGTAGCAACCTCAGCCTGAAATAGTGATGAGCAACCAGCTTATAGGTCGGCGCATTCGGTGGCGCTTCCAGAAACCCGTTTGGCGTGATGTACTTGTCGTCCAGCAAGGAAGGGAACTCGGTCGTGATAACCTGATCCGAAATCCCAAACGGCCTCCCCACACAAACACTGACCAGCCGATCAAACGAATACGTACACCACCACAATCTTCTCCTCATATCCCTCGTATACTCCCTCCTCCCCCTCTCACTCGCCGCATTCTCCCTTTGCTGTTCACCACCAAGTCCAGCATCCACATCCTTCCCATCTTCATAATGCAGCCCCAAATCCACCGCCAACCTCACCGCCACGCCAATAATATACCACAACCCCGGCGGCACTGGCCTCAGCAGCGCAAAGTTCGCCAGCAGCAACACAGCCTGTAGTTCTTCCAACCCACCCCCACTTCCCAAACACGCCTCCAAATGCACAATCGCACTCGCATGGTACTCCTCCGGCTGGCACTGCTTCGTCCCCTGATCCCCCTTGCTCTCCGCCAGTATAATTCCCGCCCCGATCGCGAACACCATATTCAAACAATACAGCTCCCTCGGCCCCCTCACCCTCTCCGCCCCCTCTGCATAAGCCTGCTCAAACATCTGCATAAAATCCACCCTATGCACCACCGGCATCTGAGGGTTCGCATGCTCAAAATACAGGTTTATCAGCTTCAACCCCAACTCCTTACTCGGAAACGTCGCAGGATGTATCGTAGGCTTGGTGTGCAAACCAAAAAACGAATCCCTCATACTCGTCGTCGTCCCATTATTCACCCCCCCTGCCGGCGGTCTATACGGTCTTATCCCCCCCTTATCCGAGTTCGACCTCTGATCCGACACGGAGCTCTGCACCGCCGCAAAAACAACCCTCGCAAACGATATCCCCGTGGTAGAGCCCAGATGCCTCCCCTGCCCTTTATCTGCTCCTCTCCTCACCGTCTCCCTCCTCGCCACAACCCCGCCCTCATCCTCCCCATTACCCCCTCCCTCTTTTGCTGACATCTGCCCCCCATCTTCCATCTGTTCAACCTCCCCTCTCACTCCCCCATTGACCCCCCCAACCTTGCTACACCACTCCAGCTCCTCGGCCCTCGGAAACCCAACCCCCTTTTCCCTCAATATCCCCTCCAACTGCTCCACCCTCTTCTCCAAATAAAAGATATAACTCCTCGGTATCTCCCTCTTCGTGATCGGATCATACCCCACACAAGGTACACCCGCCTTCTCACAACTCGCACAGCTCGGCAGCTTCTGATCACACCTATTCTTCCTCAGCCGACACCGATTACACGCAGAGACATTCCTGAAACTGGACGACTGTCCCACTTTGGCCGAGCCGTCCAGCCCACCAGCAGCAGAAGGGGGGTGCTCATGCGTCGGTGTTGCCAAAGGCGAGTTCGCGCCCGCGGAGAGGGATAACGAGGCAGGTGAGTCTTTGTCAGGGCCGGGACTAGACTGGCGCATTCGTTTGGAGGGGTGTTGGAGGTCGGGGGAGGGGGGTGCATGAGACGAGGTGGCCGGTGCCGGCATGGTGGGTGGTGTGGTGGTTTTTTGCGCGCCGAGCCAGTTCGGTTGGTCGGACGGGGCGGCAAGGCGGACGGACGCTCGGGTGGTGTCTCTGGTCAGGGCGCGGGAAAGGCCCGAGACAACTAACTGAGCGCGCTCGATACTATGCGACACAAAGTTCCGATGAGAAAGGCGGGGGAGACAAGCAGAGAGGAAACAACCCGAGTCAGTTGGAGAGTCTGGTTGCTAGTAGACAGACAGGTATCGCGCGCGCGCGCGCTGCGACAGGAAGAAGCTCGTCCGTTCGTTCGTTTAATCGGTATGGTATCGTACGGTATAATGGTGGGGACAATTGACTTTCGCTCTCTCTCTCTCTCAAAAAAAAAAAAAGGTTGGTTGGAAAGGTTTCCCTGTTCGGCCTGCCCGTCCCGTCTCTGGCAGCTTTTGCTCTCTATTCTAACCTCTTCCTTACACCGTGCATCTGCCCCATTGAATCGTCAATATTTTCTTAGGTCCTCGGGGTGACTTCGGTGGGAAAGGGGGAGGGAACCCGAAATTGGAGATCGCAAAAAAAGAAGTTGGTTGAATTGTTTTGTTTCGACGACGACAGCGACACCGGGGCAGCAGCGGGGGGGGAAACCGATCAGTTGCTTGCTAACTGGCAACTCAATCGGTACCTGGGCTGCTGCGGAAGCTTCAAAAAAGTGTGGGGTTCCGAAAGATAATATCCAGCCTTGCAATTGGTCGCCGGTGGATCTAACGCGTTCCCTGCGACGGCGTCGGTAGTTGCGATAGCTTCTGGCAACAACAGCAATAAAAAATGACCACCGTTCGGTCAGCAAGTTCGGTGAACTCGGTCAATCCCCTCCTCTGTTTTTCCTCAAGAGAGAAAAGAAAAAGTACGGAGCGGAGTAAGACAGGGGGACCGTCCTGCGTGAAATACACACACACACCTCAAAACCACCCGTTACATACACACTCAGTAAAAAAATAAAAATAAAAAGTCCCACCACCGCACTTGCCCAACCGTTGGCGGTTGCTGATAAGCACAACCATTCAACGAATCACCAGCCAGAACTCGCTCTTTTGTATCGAGTAATCGCCCAGAAGAACCCCCACTTTCCTATCCCCCCAACCACAATCCTTCAACTTTCCAACTCTCGAGTTTTAGTTTTTTGTTTTCAGGTTTCACAATTGCGGGAAATTTATCAAGTCAAAAGATGAGGTCCACTGGTGTTGTTAGTGCTGATGCCACAATACTAGCTAACTCCCAATTCACATTCCCCAGGTATGACCTTGCATCCAAACTTTCTCTTTCTCCCCTCGTACCGCCCCTCCCAACAAGGCTGTCAAGCTTATCACCAAGCCTCGACCCTGGGAGCCTCGGCAAACCACCCATATCACGAAGCCATTCCTCTTCCGAACCATTGAACTCTGCTCAAACCCATCCCAATTGTTGAGAGATAAATATCTTTGTATTTCAAATCTCAAAGTCATAATATCCCAAACCACCCATGGTTAATAGGTATATCTAATCCCTAAATAAACCTCCCCAATCCCCCCAATCTCCCAGCCAATCCTGTGGCAACCAAAGACCAAACCCACCAGAAATCGAAAAAAGAAAAGAGAAAAAAACCCGATCCATCTTCTCATGGTATCCAAGAGAGACGCCCTGATATTACAAGAAAAGGCATGTGTTGATGGTAACCCATGTTGTAATACAAAAAAAATCTCGCCCGCCCGAGAGGAAAAAGTTGCCCAGATAGTGATTGATGCCCCTGTACCCGCCCTCGCCCCCAAGTAATCCCCGATAGTAGACCCCGTTGAGTAAAAGACACCGCAGAAAGAAAATCTCACGCCCTCCCTTCGCAATGTACCCCCACAGCACAGAGTGGTTTGTCTGAAAAGTTAAAAAAAAATTCATCATGGTCTAATCCCCGAAATTCAGTGTCACTTTCTGATAACAACCCATCCCAAAACGCCGTCTAGGCATCTCCTGCAAAATCACCCGCTAGACTTCAGAGACACCCGACAAATAGTATTCGTGTACAAAAAGGGAAAAAGAAAAAAAGAGAAGAAAATCGTCAAAGTCGCTATGGCGAAGGCCTTGTGCGATCGTCCTTGTTTGGTGTGGTTGTCGTCCTTGGTTCATCCTCGGTCGTCTCGTCCATGTCCTCCTTCTCATCCATCCGTCCCTTGGGCTCGGTGATTTGGAGGCCAACCCAAGCGCCCATGACGGCAACCAGCCCGGCAACCCACCACGACAGACCAGAGTAACCGCTTTCCATACCTTGCGTATAGAAGAATCCTGATATTATCGGTCCGAGTGCTCGGCACAAGCTTGCTGTCATGGCGGCCGCGCCGTTGATGCTTCCCAAAGTCAGTGTCGTCGGGGCCGAGTTGGCGAGGAGGATGGCATTGCTCGGATACGCCAGAGTTGAAAACGTCATCTTCCAGACAACGATGCCGTACACGCTAAGCTTGCGAAGGCTGTCGGGGAGAAGGACAATGTATGGCGTAAAAAGGTAGAGGAGCGGGTACAAGACAGACATGATCTTGAACAGTCGAAGCGCTCCGATCTTGTTGGCAACAAATGGAAAGAGAAGCCTTGTCGATGCCAGTGAGTACACGCCTTGAACCGAGAGGATAAAGCCAATCGTTTGGGTGTCCCAGCCGAAACCGTCAGCAAACTTGAATGGTAGTTTTGCTGGGATTTCGGTCGCAGGTGGGCTGGTGCTGAGGAAAACCGGCAGGAGTGAGTCAAAGGCCATTGTGTGACTAGAAGCAATGTCAGCATCGTGTCGTCACTTTTCCACGCGCGAGGAACATACAAGGCAAGAATACCGTAAGAGATGATCACCATGATCACGGCTCGGGAGAATACCTTGCCTGCAGGTGCCCTCTCGGCCTCTGCCAGCTCAAGGCCCCCTCCCTCCTCAAGATCGAGTGACTCCTCCGAAACAGTGTCTGGAGGCGACGACGATCGTGCAGAGCCCGTTCGATAACCGGGCAGCAGCTCGTCGTTTTCCGACAACAGAGGTCGCTCCTCTTCTGGGACGGCTTTGGCCGGCAGCTTCCCCTTGTTCTCTTCCACCTTTTCGGACCCCCAGATCCGAGACATCAAAGATCGGCCCAGTTCGATACCGGGATCATGCCGGTGCTTCCTTTCAGCGTGTGTCTCTTCGAGAAACAAGAGGCCGACGATCACACCGATAAAGACGCAGATGGCGCTGAAGAGGTTGGGAAGCAGGTAGGGGAATGTGCCAAAAATACCGTCACGCGAGAAGCAACCTGGGAAGCCCTCAACAGGCTTTGCGAGCCAGCCTCCGATCATAGGCCCAACGATAGATCTGTAGCCAGGTCAGTCCATCCGGTTCCCTTCATCCCATGGGTGATATCACATCTTTACGCACCCTATGCACCATACCAACGGCATCACCGTATATGCTTTGGCTGTATGTACTCAGTCAGTACTTCGCCTCATGAAAGTGTGCCAAGAAAACAGCCTACGTTGATGTGCTTTGACCGTGACCAATTCCGCGACAGTAGTTTGCAAAACTCCGATATTTCTGTTTCCGTTAGCCTGGGAGCCCTCAGAACCGCTTGCCTAGGAGGACTCACCCGTTCAAAAAGCCACCGAGTGCTCGAGCACCGAGGGCAACCCAAAGATTCGGCGCAAAGCCAAACATGATCACGCTGATACCGGTTCCAGTCATTCCCATCAACAAGACAGGCTTGCGCCCAATCTTGTCACTCAATCTTCCCCAGATGAAGCTGGTGGAAAACTCGGCGAAGGTGAAGGCCGAGGTCACCATGCCAGCATAGAAGGATATCTGGCTCTCATCCTCTGTGATCTTGAAGTCTCTCACCATATGCCAAATGTATGGAAAGATGGACATGAAGGCGATGGGTTCGCATATCCGGCAAAGAGCTGCAACCTGTTAGACAAGACTGAACTGACTGACAATAGCAGAGTTGGGTAGTCGAGAACCTACCGAGAATGGTGAGCTGTCTTGATGGATATGGTGGAAGTGGCTTCTTGGAGCCGACTGATCTCTCGCTGCCGGCCATGCTGTTGCGTCGTCTCGTCCTCATTGTGTGCTTTGTTGGTGACTGATGATGGCTGGCAATGTCCCAGAGGTAGGTGTGTTTGTGATACAAGTGGCTGACGCCGTGGGACCCTTGACAGTTATATAGGCAAAGGACAAAGACGTTATGTAGACTCGTGACGTGAAACAATCATTGGTGACAGGTGCCAAGTGGACAATGTATCGAGTGAAGGAGCAATGGTGAGTCGGCCCAAGAGAGAAGGGGGGGGGGACCGAGAGGGTACTTGTACAGAGAGGGACCGAAGAGGGCGAGGGGGGGGACGAGAGGGACGAACGGCCATGTCGGCAGCTTACTTATGTTTACACCTTGGTACCGATAGAAGCCAGGTCTAATTCAAGGAGAAAATGCAGTCCACCCAGAAAGGATGGGATCCCCAGGAAGCACACCGGGGTGCGGGAAGGGCTGAGAGCCCTGGCCAGTGGTCACCGGATCAGCCATCTGACTGTGGGGACCCATGTTGTTGCGGGATGTGGGAACCTGGGCAAGAAATCATCTTGGTGAAGGGAAGCCGTGAAACAGCGGTGACTCTCTCTGATCAGAGGGAAGACGACAGGACGATCCTGGGGGAGCACTAGGTCAATTCAGGTGCTACCGCAAGGTTGGAAGTGAGCGCGGCGGATAGTGTGTCGACCAGGTCCAGGGCAATAATCTTGGCATCCATGGATGGCTGGTTCCCGACTTTACTGACTGGCCCATGTCAATCACCCATGCCTTGCAGGGATACCGCCCACAGGCACGTCGACGGCTCAGAGGGTTCGTCACCGTTTCGCTGGGACGTGGGATTGATGAACCCACCCACTCACAACGCCGTCCGCCGTTGAGGACCTCCTCCGACAGGACACTGTCTACACACATACGGTACGGTACGGAAGAACAAGGCGGCCAAAGTGATCGCCTTGCCAATCCAATGTCGTCGACGACGGCCGTCTGCCGTCTGCATTTGCGAGGAAGCATGCTGCGCTTGCCGAACTGTCCACCGCGGGGCCGGGTAAGGCTCGATGCAGCCGCGAACCCGTCGTACCTCGTTCTGGGCTGATGATTTGAAAGAGAAGAATAGAAGAGGGCATCGCACAGCAGCGAACGGGTCGGCAGACCGTCTACCCGGATCGCATGGTCAGGTGTGGCTGCGTCATCTCCATCACGGCCTTACTCTGTCGCGAGTCGCGGCTATCGACCTTGCTGCTGGATGATACGGAAGGGAAGGCCTGAGGTATGATTGAAAGGTCCGGTGATATGAGCGCAAGCAGAGCAGAGGTGGATCAAGCGGCAGTCCAATGTGTCTCTAAATGCGTGACTGCATTCGCCCAAGGCGCAACTGCATGAATACCTGCACCTGCACACCTGCAGCATAGCGGCCTCCCTGTTCCTACACAGCGCCGTAGTTTCACCAACCTAGGTAGGTACCTAGCTAGTAGCGGGCTGTGCCTTCCACACCTACCTATGGCTGCTCGTCACCTCAGTTCAGGCATGTATGTACCTCGTCAGGCAAGGTAGCTGAGAGCTTACTGTCAGTATTTGCTGAGGTCGGGTGCTCTCCTGTGATCCGAGCGATATGGACGGGAGGTAATATTGCTGACCCCGATCGGAGCATGGGAGGAGCTTACGGTAGAAGCGGTGAAAAGGGAGGTACCGTGCAACAGCAGAAGAGCCGCGCCCAACCTCGCGGAGATCGGAGCCAGCAACACCTAGGTAGCGGCAGGCACAAAAGCACCCGAGAAAAGCAAACACCTTCGATTTCAGGATTGTGGAAAGGGCACCAGCTCAGCCAAATCAAGGCGACAGATTGACCTGAGACAGAAAGATTAGCCGATGACACCTGAATGACACCAGAAAAGATGAAAACTTTTTTTTCTCGAATTTGCTTTTTCAGCAATTCCACCTCAACCACTCGTCCGCCCCTCCTGTTGCCCGCCGTGCCGCCGTAGAGAAAAGGTGGGGCTGGACAGTGAGGTGAGAGCTGTGATGCTCCTCCCGGCGCGCGAACCTGCATGCTACATACAGATGGGCAAATATCAGGTTCTCTGATTTCCACTAGGATCCTTCGACCGTCACAGCCCAGTATGGATAATGCGCTAGAGGCCCGATGAAGCCCGAAGGACCGACGTTACACACACAACTGGAAGCAAAGCTGTACACACAGGTGGCATGTAGCGGGGCATTGAGCAGGGCCACGAGAGCCCAAGCCCACCTACACTGCACCGTTTGGCTGGTGGTCGGCTTCTTCCATCGAAAAAGACATCTGGTTCAACCCCAAGCCTCAACGGCAAAAGGACCCGGTCTGACGGAGCATTAGGCTGACGCTGTTGCTTTCCGGGGTGTCCGCGTCGCACAGCGCTCTGACGAGTTTCGACGATCATGGACGGCAGGTGTCGGCCATTGGCTCGCCGCCGGACAAGCACGGACAGTCGCATTCTTGCGCACCTCGTTCATGGCCCGATGCCATTTTTATTGAGCCGTTGACGGCGACACACATCAAGCAGCAAACGATCCCGGAAACAGGATGCTGACTTCCGCCCATGCCGCGCCGCGGAGATGGTGAGCCATTCCACGTTTGCCATCGCTGCCATCCCACGACCGACCAGTGAGCCAAGAGGGCGCCTCATTTCTGATGGGCCTGTTGAGGCTCCGAAACAGGGCGGGTGTGGGCAAATCCAAGACACATTTCAAGACATATCAACGTCAACGGGCTTTTCGCCGAGAGGTGTCACGGATGTTTTGTTCCCCAGCACTTGTCTCCTACATACACTACAATCCATGTCCTGTCGCTGGCGTGGTGGGGAAGGAGGGGGTGGTTGCACAAAGAGAATGGGACTTTTCCGGTCGAAGCCTCTTTTTTATTACACTTCACTCGGCTCCAGTTGCTGACCGAAGACACAGATTAAGACTCTGCAATTGCTTCATTTTCATGATTTCGAAAAGTGCACTTTCATCAAAACCCCTGGAGATAGCCCGAGCAGGATACTCGAACGAGCGATGTTGATTACATTGGCCCCGCAACAGGCCCTGTCACCGCGCCGACTTTGTTGGGAACACCAGACCGAACCACTGAACGACCTTGCAGACACTGCGTAGCTCTCATCCAGGTACATATCGACAGCTTCATGTACACTCCCAGTCCTGTTTTCGTACTGACAGTCCTAGTCCAGCCCAGCGTTCCGGATGGATGGCAGGGTTCGCAGCACCAATTGGTCAGTCAAACAGCCTGGAACGTCGGCCATACAAGCCCGCCAATCAGCAGAGCTGCTCGGGGTGACAGCACCCGTGTATCAACCATCTTGTGCGTGGTTTTTGACCCTATGCAATGGTAGCGACTGAGAAGCCACGGTGATCGCCCAGGCTACGAGGCTCCATGTGCATTATACTAAATGGCGGTATGCCGCCTAATATCCCGCAAGTATCAACACCATCAACACCAGGTATCATGCCACACATGCCAGGTCGGATTCGCTCCCGTCATGTCAAGCGCTAATTTTAACCTCATCCCTCCTCGGGTGTTCTTGTCGCGGGTAGAGCGTTCATAACTCGAGTTCCACACGTCATCAGCCCCCCGTGAACTCGCGTGGGCATCACCGCTATCGTCAGGCGGCAAGAGCTCCGGCACGGCGTCACCGTCTTTGGGACGACCTGTATTTTTCAGCTGGATCGCCCGATGCGTGGGGAAGCTTTTTCTTTCGCTCTGCCCACCAGAAGTCGACACAAACCAACCGGAGCCGTACCGTCGGCGTGGGGACATGATGGTGGGGGCGTCAAGGGCGGCTTGGAAGGCGCCTCGCTCACCGAGCCAGATGACCATGTGCAACTAAAAAGCCATCTGCCGAGCTCCCCCCAACCACCGGTACTTTGTACAATACGAAAATGTCCACTTCTGCTCTTCATCCTGGATATTGAGCAAACCCCCAGTGCCTCCATTCCGATAACATATTAAAAGAGTTCGCTGGGGTCTGCAGAAAACCTTGCATATCAACAACTGCTCAGTGCTGCTGCTGGTGTTATCAGAATCTTCCCAGCAGATCTTGACAAATCGGTACCCGAGACGGACCCTGGGGATGAGCGCCAGTTTCGATCGACAAGGGTGACCCTGGTAAGACCTCGCTTCCAGAAAATCGAATTCTCCATCTGGAAGCCCCAACCAGATTGTCGGGCCGGGGTAAACAGGTGTTGGTTTTGAAGCACTGCTCCCACCCCCTCTCCGGCCAATCAGCAGGCGCTTATCCAGCGCTGTTGACGGCATCAGAGGCGATAGTAAATGCCCGTGTGGCTGGTGACGGGCATCACCACGTCAGTCCCTCACGCAGCAAGCACATGGGGAAACTTGGAACAAAAACAGCAATGAGACTTTTCTATGATCAGTATCATCAACCTCTGCCGCAAATTTGACCCCTTTCTTCCGTATCCGCATCCCGCAGTTACCAGAGGGCCAAGACGAAACCAACCTTCCCCAAATGCTCCAGACGGCGACGTTGCTCATTGGACCTTCCAGCTGCCCCGTTTCAAGGCGCGCATACACCAGCAATCATGTGCTCTCCAACGTTCATTTGCGAGTGGTTGCATCCCGTCTTTTGCTAGAACTACTGTCAGGGGAAAACTCGACAGCAGGGCCAATGAGATTGTCGGGTCTCATAATGACGCAGTATTTTCTCAAGTCCCGAGAAAAAAGTTGGTGTGGGAACTGCGGCTGCGGACCCTGTTGCAGTTTCGATGCCACAAAAAAAAAAGGGCCAGCCCGATACGGAGTACATACCAAAGACGATCTGCCTCCTTCCTTTCGGTGTACACTGTAGAATTCAGGGGTCGGCAAATTCACCGTGAACATGACTACATGGCCTACGCCTGAACGGCAAGATTGCTTGCGGTCTTCCAATATGCATTCTGCATGTCGTGCAGCTTCTGGGACAGAAAACGGAGATCCAGCTGTTGCTTTGACGTGGTCTAGCCCTGGTGGCTTGCGTGGTCCCGAGGTCGGTACTCGTGGTGCTTGGTTCACA